GTGTTTACATCAAAATAATTTAATGTTTACAGAAGACGTGGAAGGACCTTCACAGTTCAAAGAAGTTTCTTCATTTTTCAGCCACTTTGTAACTGGTCTTCTGAAAGCTAATCTGAACTGGCAAGCCTTCAGTCATTTGAATTGGATTTATACACCAGTACCTTTTAAAATAAAGTAACTGATGGTGTGTGAATCTTTGTTTTTTCTGTATCTTTTTTTAAAAAATGCCTTTGGGGATTTTCACATAACAAAATATGCCTACCAACAACCTTCAAAATGGGATACTTCCTTTACATTAAAATTGACATGACAAATTCTATGTGTGAATAAAGTTAGCAATGCTTTCTAATTTATTATATAATACTATTATTAGATGACATAAAACCTAATTTTTCCTCAAGTGATCCATAACTGCCTTAAAGGTGTCTAAATTCGTTCTTTTAATTTGACTGCTCTACGCTTTTAGTTTTAAAGAGTCATACATTAAGGCCTAATAACTTGGACATACAGATCATTAGCCACTTTTAAAAATACAGGCTGAAAAATTTATTTCAAGATTCAGAAATTTTCACAGAATACCATATTTTCCAACCATATCTATTTTATGCTATTAATTTTAAACATTGTTTTGATTTTTTTTCATGAATGAAAAAGCTTGACAGTGAATGGATTAACTTTCAGGCTGTCAGCTTACGTAAACACACAGTAACAGCTGAATCATCTTTTTCTTCTCCTCTGAGGTCAGAAGGCTACACTAACACTGAGATAACAATCAGTCAAAACTACAATAATCCAGATATTTTTATCTTCCTAAAACCAAGCTCTTTTTTCCACCAGCCACTGGAAGTAAGTGCCAATTAATCCAACTAAACTGCCGAAGCAGCGCTCTGTGCACTACCATATTTTTGGTTTGTGGGCAACTTAGGGTTTCTGAACCTTAATAACTGATGGACTATTATTGCCTACTAAAGACAGCAAGAAGACCGTATCACTTATTGCACTCTGGGGATCAATGGGGTATGAGGAAAACAAGACTAACACACAGTGAAATCCTGTCTTCATGATGCAAGAGAAAGATCTTCTATTCATTTAATGAATCAAGGATCTACCTCACAAAGTTAAGCTCCAGAAAAACTTAGTAACAGCTTTTAATAAATATGAAATCTAATTTTAGAAAAAAAAAATTTCCGGAAAAACATTTACTTTTTATGTAGTATTCGCTGTTCCATATTTAGACTCTGTCTTTAGTAATCTAAGTAGCAGAATTCAGTAGGAAAAGACTTCCTGCCTGGCAGACAACCTCAGCTCATCCTGAAAACCCAACTACTCAAACCAGCTCCTTCGGAAGCACATTAATACTTCCTGGCTACTTGATACACACATTGAGACGGTCATTTTCTCTCAGACCTCTGGGAAGCTTTCCTCTTGAGCATAGGAATGTCTACATAGTTATTTGTTTCCCTATGACAGGCACATTTGAGATCAAGAAGAGCAGTGTATCATATCCTAGTCAAAAAACTTGTTCTAAAACAAGTCTGCGCATCTTATAAACAAATCTGGAAAAGACTAGGATTCCTATTGTTTTTTCCGGTTATTAAAAGAAAAGTCATAATAATAATGCAGGTGAGCTACTACATGGCAACCATTGTAAAATACTCTGCAACTTCAAAGACATGAAATAATTCTTGCTTTATACAGTCTATTAAATAAGCTTTGTAGAAATAACACTTGTTTTGTATGAAAGAAAAAGTATAGCAGGAAAAAAAAAACCAGCCCATGATGAATGGAAAACACATCATTTAAAGTTAAAAATACACATATTTGGGGCATTCAGAACTCCTTTAATTTACTGCTAGTGGCATTTCTGTCACATAATCTTTTCTTACTAAGCAATACATACGAAGATTCCTGAAAATAGTATCTATGCCTAGATACTTCTCAGCACTAGATACTTGTTAGCACTCACTGTAGAATGCCCATTTCACCAACAAAACCAGTTCATTTTAAAATTTACTTAGTAAACATAATTGTAAACATACAGGATACAGGTACTTATGCTGCTTAAATAACATTCAAACACTAAATAAATATTTTGGTTAAACAAATAAAAGTTCCTATAGTTCATTTTAAAATTTACTTAGTAAACATAATTGTAAACATACAGGATACAGGTACTTATGCTGCTTAAATAACATTCAAACACTAAATAAATATTTTGGTTAAACAAATAAAAGTTCCTATAAAGCAAAAGACTAATCACAGAATGGTTAGGGTTGGAAGGGACCTCTGGAGATCATCTAGTCCAACCCCCCCGCCAGAGCAGGGTCACCTACAGCAGGTTGCACAGGACGGCATCCAGGCAGGTTTTGAATGTCTCCAGAGTGGGAGACTCCACCACCTCTCTGGGCAGCCTATGCCAGTGCTCCACTACCCTCAAGGTAAAGAAGTTCCTCCTCATGTTAAGATGGAACTTCCCATGTTCAAGCTTGTGCCCATTACCCCTCGTCCTATCACTGGGCACCACTGAAAAAAGACTGCTCCCATCCCCCTGGCACCCTCCCTTTAAGTATTTGTAAGTATTAATAAGATCCCCCCTCAATCTTCTTTTCTCTAGACTAAAGAGACCCAAGTCCCTCAGCCTTTCCTCATATGAGAGATGTTCCCATCCCCTAATCATCTTTGTAGCCCCTTGCTGGACCCTCTCCAGATCCCTGTCCTTCTTGAACTGGGGAGCCCAGAACAGGACACAATACTCCAGATGCAGCCTCACCAGGGCAGAGTAGAGAAGAACAATGACCTCTCTCGACCTGCTGGCCACACTTTTCCTGATGCAACCCAGGATGCCATT